GCCTTGATGTGCGATTTTCCCCGAAAACTCTCCGTCGAATTTCGACCGGTGCCATATTTCCGTTTCAAATCGGATTTCTATTACATGGAAAAATTCCGATCGCAGGATCTCAATTGGTATAGATTTAAGTCTACGGTATTACCTATACCTTGGACGGGTTTAAAGTCGGGAGAATATAAAATGATCGATGGATCGAAAAACATTGATCCGATTTACCCACCAACTTGGTCCGTGCTCAAATTGTTGTTTATAGATCACGAAAACGAAACGCTTCTGTATATTGTGGGAAATGAAGGTTTATGGCTAAGTAAACGGTCATCCCTATCATTACCCGGATTAGTCATGGAAATTGATAGTATATGCCGTAACCGAATCAAAGCAAGAACGGGTCTGGGAGAAACATGGCTTTTCGAAGTTAACGAAACCGACGAATCTACCTGCGACAACATCATTTCAACTAAAGTAGAAAATGGTAAATGCTTTATTACAGTAAAAAAGGCAGGCAACCAAAAAATAACATCTTGCCATTTGAAGTACAATGCCGACAACCGTTCGCAGATTTTGTTTTCCTATCAAGATGGTATTGCTACCATTGATGGTTTCCAATTTTCCTGGTGATGTATTTGCGTAAATTATTATGCGTGGCTTGTGCTTCCACTGCTGGCTGCTCCATCTACAAGTGGCATCGTAGCGATAATGTTTTCATCGTCCGTCTCGATATCATCATCAAACTCGGGTAAAGAATCGCCATCATTACTTGATGCATGATTTTGTTCAACGGGCTCTCGTTCCAAACGTAAACGTTTTTCGGCAGGTTGATCACCACGTATTTCGGCTTCCGAGGCAGAGTGATTTTCCGTTTCGATAGTCGGTTCTGTTTCAGGTAGATTGGATAGAATTTCGTCTGCCGCTTCTGGAAACTCTTCTGTCAATATGTTTTGTAAAAAGCTGTGTTGCATTTGCGATGTTGAAATGCTTGGTTCACTCAAAGAGGAAATCATGTCATTAAGGTCGCGTGAAATTTGCGTTTTCATGTTGTCATTTAGTTCGCATTTACTATGTGAAACGTCATCGGTACAATACATTTTAACGGTTTCTATTAGGAACGCAACTATTGGATTTATGGGCGAATATACGTATTTCCGAGATTGCGTTTGACGATTGAAGTAGGCTACATAATTGTCCAACATTTCTTCGGTAGGTCTTTGGGGTATTTTAAGAAGCGCTAGAGCCGTAAACGATTTAGCGTATATGGATTTAGCCATTTTCAATATGAATATCGCCGAATAATGAAACTCGGCAGCTTTTTGATATTCCCGAATTAAGCAGTAGGCCGTATCGCGCATTTTGTCATGTTCCAGCATCCGGCTTAGGATGAATACGGTTGAACTTGAGAGAATTGGCGTAACTTGAAGCCATACTTTCTGCTGGCTGCGACGAATAAATTCTAATAAGGTTATAGAGGCAACCATGTCGACGTTCTTAATAATGGCAATATTCAAAACGTGCTCATTAATACTGGGATTTTTCTGTTTATACTGGCTGTCAACGCTTGACCTAAAATTTCCACAAGAAACGCTTACCCGTTACCAGAATACAAATTTCTATTCCAACTACCCACCAGATAGTATAGTTGAGAAATTTATCGATTGCGATGTAACGGAAATGATTGAATGTGATGTTAATAATCAAATGGCCTGTTTATCTTGTAAGCAATTGAACGCTTCCTGTATTCATTTCGAACGAGATATGACTCTCAGCCTCACCAGAGATAAAAGTGTCGTTACATTAAAAGCGAACCGTGACGCTGCTAAAGGCTATTGCATAAAAAGTACACGGAAAAGGAAATGCAACCCTCTAACAGGAAACTGGGTCTTGTTCGAAACTGATCCGGAAACGGAGACTATGGGATGGATATGCAAGTGTACGTATCCAAATCTCGTTACCCAAATCAATTTAGCCAGTGATTGTGACGTTGAAGTTGGTTGCGGAAAGTATGGCAAATTTGCTCGTTCCGACATTGATCCTATGTCACGTAATTGCTTATGTGACGACCCGTACATATCTGCATTTGATAATATTCGTGGACCTCATTGCCGTTTACCAAAAATCTTCGAAATTAAAACGGACGTTAGTTATTTGCCCGATCAAGCGACGATTCCAGTTAGTTCAACTGATCCTGAGTTTAGGCATAAATTTGCTCACCCTAATCTACGCCATGTGCCAGATCCGTGTAGATTTATCTTTGAAGGAAACGAACCGGCAGCGGGTTGTCATACCAATGGCGAAACCTTGGGCGTGCATATTTGGCCCAGTTATTTACCCGTCGCTGACGATTTTGGCGAATTCAACTTTGCTATGAAACGTACCGAATCAATCATAGAAGGCTACTTGTTTTACTCACATCCTAAATATTACGATAAAATAATACCGATATACATGACAGATTTGGAAGGTTTACGGCGCTTTTCTTGGGCCACAAACGAACGTTTAAGGTCCATGTGGCAGTTTCAGATAAAAGTCGGTACGCCACCAGCATCGATTAAGGATTTTAACGCGAATAAACATATTTACGTTATGAGTGCATACATCGAACCCGATGTACATATTCCTTCTTCAGTGAATGATTATCATTACGAGGAATCGCGTTGGTTCTCAACTACCCCGAATCGACAATATAATTGTGGGTTTTACAATCGCTTCGGAGCGGGATACTTGGATTCTCCATATCCGATTAAACCGTGCATGGGACAGTGGTTAGACGGTCCAAGCTACCCGCTGCTGTCACCATGTCGATTAACTAATATCGGCGATTACGAGGCGAATCGATGTTCACAGAGCGCTTGTTATTGGCACAACTTTATTTGGCCTAGTAACGAGAGAAAATATACGGAAAACCACTGGGGATATCCATCGCTAATGTTCAGAGTTGCTCAATCTTCGCTCCATCACGGACTGTGGAAAGCTAAACTTTTCCCACCCGTCTATACCGACCAGAGCGACTTTAAACGGGTATTTTACCATGACGGTCGACGAATCATTTTCAATCCGAAAGATGTGACAGAGGCAAATGCAATCGTTGGACCGAATTTCCAGCGTCGCATAGCTCGTGATACAGAAGCGACAGACAAGGACGACGGAGTGTCGTATTTTGTTCACCCTTCGGGAACGCGACCCGCCTACAAATTTCAATCGACCAGTCTAAAATATCATTTGGATAGTTACAATACCGATTTCATTCGAAAATAAAACAACGTAACTGCTGCGGGTTACTTGGGACTTTATTTAAAGGTAATAATCATGCACACACGGGTCCAACGATCAAACACTTGGATTTCTGCTGCTTGTCGAAAAATCTCTAGTTAGTCCCTGTAGATCCGAATCCGTTTTCTCCGCGCTGGCTATATTGCAACTCTGACACTTCTTCCAATTCTGGCAAGTAAATTTTTTCGCAAATTAACTGAGCAATACGGTCACCTTTCCTGACGCGAAAAACTTTGTCAGAATGGTTAAACAGCAAAACTTGAACGATTCCTCTATAATCAGGGTCGATAACTCCGGCCCCTATATCGATAGAGTGGTGCAACGCAAGTCCCGATCGTGCGGCGATACGTCCATAGCAGCCAAAAGGCAATTCTATTTTTATGCCAGTGTTGATAAGCGCCTTACTTCGTGCCGGGACAAGAACTTCTTCAATACTTTTCGAATCCGGCTGCTTGATCCGAGCCTTTAGTCGGAACGTATGCATCTCGAGAGGATCTCGTAAATTTTAAAACTGAACAGCTCTTACCGGAATTCATCATATGCATTAGGGCTTGCATGTATTTCAAGCAAATGTACGACTATTATATACTATTCGATCCTACGAGATTGGGTACGATTATTTGTGGGAGAAATCAAAATCCGTACTTCAGTATGTATACAAGTCTTTATTAAATCAACCAATTTACATGTATGTAACGCTAAAGTGAAAGGACAAATTAAGATGCAAACAGGTCTTCAAACTGTCTCAAATAAACTTCTGCTTGTATCGCGTTCAAATCACATCCACAAATTTTACGAATATTCCTTCTATACCAGAAAATGCACCTTCCATTAAGTTTGCTGAAATTGTTGTAAGTCAAACCCGCCTTGTATAACGCGCTCATACCGTGGTTCCACTGGAAAAACTCCTTTGGATCGTTGTCTTTGAACTGCGGTACGTCATCCTGGCTGATACGGCAAATCTGTAAATAGTCCAAGGAAAGGCACAGCAAGTACAACATGAAATTGTCTCGCAAATAATCAAAGGCTCGATCTGCAGGCAACTGATTAATTATTTTGGTCAGGTCCAGCGTCATAAACCAGGCTATGATTGCGTTTTTGGATTCTCGTTCACTGAATTCGTATTTGTTTTTGTACTTTGTATTCAATAGAGTTTGTACTTTGAGTGCATGTTCATGTCCTTTTGCACACTGCAACGCTGAATACCAAAACGCAATCCGTTCTGGAAAAATTGTGCGAGCCACTTCCATTATAAATGTTTGACAGCAAATAAATATGGTTAAATCACTTGAGGTAGCGAACGGCGGCTGATAGAAGATCGGGGACAATCGACATTTTTTAAGGACTTTTAGCTTGTTTTTTTCGATGCGTCGTGCAGGAAATAGGACTTGTAATGTGGCTCTAATGCCCGATACTATGCCACACAAATCAAATATACCGGATATTAAACCCATATTGTATTGACACGTTAATCAGGAACTAATTGACTCGGCAATACAGACGAAAAAAATTAAGACCTCGTCGATATTTATACCCATCGAGAGCTATATCACTGTAATACATAAACATTCACGCGCAATCGAATGCTGGCAAAGACCCGATATAATTTATGTTCGGCAATGATCTTAGCAAGGAGTGCTCATTTCCCGATGTACCATAAACAAGGAATGTTGAAATTGTGAGATCGTTTTTAATTGCGGCAGGTCAGGAACAGCTGCGAAATACTTCAAATTACCTTATAACGACGGTAGTAAAGTGAACTTATTTACTGTTGTTCCATCGAGAATAAAATTACCATTTGCATGTTTACTGAGACCGGGAATTGATTCACCTATTACGAGGATTATGAAATCTCCGTTATTAACTGGACTAATAGAGAGTTCGGTTGGATTGACTTTGTTTATCGCAACATCGTTTAGTAACGTATTGATCTTGTACGACATCCACTCACTGACAGCTATCGTCGAGATTTGCGGTTCAATCGCGTAATTGATCTTACGAGCCGTGATTCCATTTTCCACATTCAAATTGAGCACTACAGTTTTACTGTTTGTACCCGAATCTTCGACATTCGATTGAATGATCCCAGCCGTGGCAAATGTGAGTGTTTTTCCGATATAAACCAAACTGCTGTTTATTCGGGCCAAAAGATATTTACCTTCGTGCACATGGAATAACTGGGAACCGCGAGACTTGATAGTTGGCGCGGTGAATTCTAAATTATTTTCGTGTTTGATTCCGGGAAAGTAAAGTTTTTGCGCTCCTGTATAAAATTCCAAACCGTCCCAAGCGATTGCGTTCGAATGAGTTTTTGCTGGAACGTTTCTCGGTGAGATGGAGATGGGGTCCAATTTGTTGCTTTCCAACATTTGAATCGAAGAGGGTATCGTCGGGAAGGGCCTGACGTTACGCGACACTCGATAAATGAGTCGAGCATATAAATCAAAATTGAGAGGTACCGCTTGCTCTCCAATTATGTCGATTAGAGTCGCATAATAGTTACGTTGGCCGACGTCAATTTTCAATGTCGACCAACGGTAGAGTTCAATTAAATCGTTCAAATTCACTAACGGTCGAACCGAATGCTGAGTAAAATAGTCGCGAACTATTTGCAGGTCAACTTTCGAACCATTTACTCTACGATAAAATGTAGGAATATACAATGTTGGACAAATCGGAAATGGTCGTCGGATTCACGGTTAGCGTTATCATTTTCAGCAACTCGTTTATGTAACACGTATTGGTGGCCTTTGGATATTTGGCCAGATAGTAAAGTAACGAATTTCTATCGACCGAGTTTCTAAAATCGAACGTATTGAGCGTGGGCAAATCTCCATTGACAAAAAGTCCTCTTACGTCGTTACTTTTAAATGACGTGGCATTAGTTTTTAGATCGTAGTACAGACACATCGACGGTGACAAATTCAGGTATAAAAATCCGAATCCTATGAACAATAGTAAAGCGAGCGCAACTATCATAAAAGTCATCTTATTAATAGTTTCCTCTATCATGGGCTTGGCTCTTGTTGAATCCTATTAATTAGAGCGGCCAACCCTTCGGTTTGTTTCTTCAAACGTTTATTTTCGTCGTTGCATTGCTTCAAGCTGGAAATCGTTGTTTTTTGCTGCTTTGTTAGTTCGTTAATTTTGACTTGTTGTTCTGCGATAGTTTTTGCCGAACGAGTAAAATCGTCATAGGACATGGCAAATTGTTTCCACATATTGCTTATACGTTCGATTAAAGGACCGGCAATATCGGGCTGTTGGATTTTTAACCGTTCGAGCTGGGATAAAAACTCTATAAATTGGTCGGAGCTTTTGGGTTTTGGTATGTTGTTTTTCTCCAGATATATTGAAATTTCGTGCAAGAGATCTGGTATTGGTGTCATGGCATTTAGCATTAACACTTTTTCAGCAGCATCGCCAACGGCAAGAAAAGCACCAGGATGACCGACTATTTTGTGTGACTCGCTTTCCATGAGCGTTGCATATGTCCAAAGCTCATCCAGGATGGTGTTAAATTCCTCTAAGTTACTATCATCGTGGTCTTTCAAAGTTATGTTTTGTAGAAGTAATTTGACCTTTGTCCAATTCACCATGACTTAGTAGTATTCTGCCGACATTTTTATAACGCAAACTGTGAAATTTGATTCCGTGCGGTGGCGTCGTTCCGAAAACGTTTGTCCAATGTTTATTGAACTTTTCGTAGGGATTCAAGAACTTGGGCGGGTTACTTTCTTGACCTATTAAACGGGCGACAACACGACCTAGCAAATCGTTTGGTCCGTTCCATTTTACCTGCCCGATATGATTCGTTTTACTGATGTAGATTGCAATTTGTTGTTTATCGCGTAATTTTTCTAATTGAAATTTGGTCATGGACAAGATTTCGTTCAAGCGTTTTCCGGTGAAGGCGCACAAAAGAAAGATGGCCGCGTAGTAAGAAAAATCAGGCTCGGTGTTGTGTTCTAAACTAACTATAGCATACTCGACCATTTTGTCGAACTGCGATTGCGACAGAAAATTCTCCCTTATAGTTTTGAATTGGCCAATTACATTTTTAGGTCTAATGTCCGTTTTCTTTTTAATCAAGGCGATTACCCGTCTAACCAGATCTTTAGACAAGCCATGATCGGTCGACAGTGCGTTGGCAACATTTTCGTAATCGCTACTTTTGGCAATGGCCGTCAGAAATTTATTCGCCATTTCCACGACTCGTTTATTGCGCTTATTCACCACGTCCGATGGCTGTTTACGCGTGTGAATTAATGGAGTATCATTGAAAGATTGGCCATATCGCGCATTTGCCATAAGTAGTTACTTAATTATGAATTGGCGAACGTTTCTGTTAATAATGATTACGGCTTGGATATTGGCCAACTTTCTACTGAAAACCTTCTTTCATATAGCCATCAAAACGATTACTTATTTTAGGAGCATACGATACTCGCCATTCGAGACGAATTCGGAATGTTTCCTTTATAAACACAAGAACTATTATTTGTACGAACCGAACAATACAAAAAGCTGCTTAATATTGTATATGCACGGGGGTGCATTTGTGGCTGGCAGTGAAAGTTCTGATTTTCTATCACGTCTGGCCAACCATACCAAATGTCGAATATATTCGATACGGTATGGTTTAGCGCCCCGTTACAAATTTCCCACACCTATCGAACAATTTCTGCTCATCGGTGGACGTATCGTATCCCAGCAAGAACCACCGTGCAAGTCTTTATATTTTATGGGAGATTCAGCGGGAGCGCTTCACGTTCTCCAAAGTTGGCTCGCTATAAAGAGTACCATATGGCAAAATTGCCTGCCAAGTATAACTGGCGTGCCCATTGAATTTAATCTAAAAGGTTTAATTCTACTGTCTCCCTATATCGATGTTAACGATTCGAGTGTGAGCGGTTATTCCTTTCCGATTATTTACAAAAACATTTTGGATATGTATGGACCGCTATCGGAGTTACGCCGCTTCGACCCCCTATTGATAGAGAGCATGATTGACCTCCCGTCCAGTCGGGATGCCTTAGTTGATCCACAACGACGAATAACGGACATTCCGATTCTCGCTATTGATTCGGAATTGTATAGTTTTGCTCATCACTTGTTTAGGCTAAAGCGAACGTGGAACACGTCAAACTTACAAATAAATTTGTTCGGCGACGAAATTCACGACTTTATGTTTCTTTCATCAAAATTCTCCAGGCCAACTAACCTGATTAAGAAATTTATCGAAACGCATCCATAGAAGGCCGCCGACGGCCATGTATGATATGTTTTAAGAGAAAACGGTATCGTCCTTTGTGGGCGTATTAGTAGAAAGATCGGCTATGCGTATGCGAAACGAGCGATCCTAATTATTATTTTTTTTGATCCTTGATGCCCGAAATGAATCGTTGTAAACGTGAAGGGAATTGAGTGAACGCCACACCGTCGATATTTTTATAGAGCACTTCAATTTTTGACGCGTATAACCAGTATTGATGTTTTAATGGTAAACAATTGAGTGCCAAGAGGGCAACTGTAATAAAACCGACGAAACCCAGAATTTCTGCGCATTTCATTTTTGCGTACTTATAAGCCTTGTTAGAACGGTACGATGGAAATGAGCGTGTCGAAAACGTTAAAAGCAATTGCGGAAAACCCGTCAATAGCCATCGAAACGTCTGCGAACATATTGGCCAAGTTTCAATATTTTAGCGGCAATGCTGATACGTTGCAATGGTTTCAGAAATATTTGACGGATGGAGAAAAAATTGCAAGAGTGATGGCAGTGGAAAATATGAAGATGTCGTTAAGCGAACAACTTTCATATCTTCTGACGGAAAACTTTATATTCGAGGCTGTGCGACTAGTGAAAACCCAAAATCCCAATATTACTCTTGTAGAACTATTACGTACAGTGACTTTGCCGAAAATTACTCTTCCACCCTTTAATCCTGAAATATACGTGCCCATGTTATGTCGGCTGTGGAACGTTACGGAAGACAGTATGATCGAATTAACTTGGGACAAATTTCCAAGCAACGATGATGACGATTCGGACGTTCGTGCACAAAATCGTATTAACATCAATAGCTTTCTTCTGTACGAGGCAAAAATTTTACTCGAAAGTTTGTCAGCCTGGTACGGACAAAGTTTCAATACGCTTCCCTTTGCAGAATTCATGTGCCGTTTAAACTGGTTTATTCGGTATTCGTTACGACAATTTGAGATGGAGAAAACCAATGGGACAAATGATCTATCCGAACTAATTACCACGTTTACGCAACAATTGGCCGAGGGTGTCTCGACGGTGTTCAACTCGCCCGAAAATACTCTCAAAGATGTCATTTGTGCGGCGTTCTTTTTGGTAGACGAACGGCGACAAGAGGAAAACTTTGAACTTCATCTGGACGTTTCAATTATTGATTTTTACCGTAAATTACTCGACTCGCATATAAGTCTATGCCCGACCATGTACGGTGTTTTCATAATTACCAAGCTATTTCTCGGCGGTAATTTTGTCATCGAAGGACTGCCGAGCGATAAAGCTTTAGCCACGTTGTGTGTATGGGCGACAAGAAAAATTTGGTCTCGCAGTTCAACGTTTAATCAAAGGCACCCAGTTCCAGAATTTGCCAAGCTTAAGCAGTTTATACCGGCGTTCATTAAAGACCGATTCTCTCTGAGCAGGTTGCGCAGCATTCCGGCAAGTGATCTAGCAAATCGTTTTCACAGAATGGAGTTAGCGTTCAAAAATAGCAATCTTCCATTGTACATTTTAGCCAATTACATACCTTGGGTGTTTATCGATAAACGATCCTTTAATCATCCGGACGTCGATACTCAATATTTACCTTTGGCAGCGTTCATTCACGTAAGGGACGCGTTGAACAGAGTTAACTCTAACGCAAATCCGCATGCGTTTTCCTCCAAATGCAACGGTCATCAGATTGTTCAAGCGGTAATCAAAGTGCTTTCAATTAGAAATATAGTTGAACCTGTCGAATTGTTAGAGTTGGCCAATACTCTGGCCGATTACAGGTTGTAAATTGTTATCTATTATAAGAATGGGTTTACAAAGAGATACAATTTTCACGTACCTGTTTGACGTACCGAATAAATCTGAGGAGAAAAAAGACCTCCGGGAATGGTTAGAGTTGTTTCTGAAAAATCATAAAACTAGCAAACTACCTACTGAAGTAGCCGAACACTTTGACAAAGAAAGCGCTAGGATATTGGCCGATCTGGAGCATGCAAAATATGAATCGATGAAGAAGGTACCGTTACCTGGTAATCAGATTTTCGGTCGGCAAAAACTAAAGGTTAATATTTTGATCTACGATGACAATGACGTGCCAAGAATTCAGCACGATTTAAACGACGAGATCGAGATGCCTTCGTCCGGTATTAAGGTTTGCACTGATGGAGCTCAAACAGCATTGTTTAATAAATTCGTCGTTTATGATTCTACCTATTCGATTCCCGTATATTTCGATAAACAATTTCCTATCGAGGTAGCAACAGATTTACCGAAACATGATTTTAAGGTGGTCAAGTATGAAGACGAAGTATACACGGTTTTCCGCCAAGACGATAATCATTGGTGGCTCATCGGAGCGGATGTCGTTTACACGAATGTCAAACCGACACCTTCTAATCCGCTCAATAAATTCGTAGTGACGATGGACAAACTTACGTTCCCAAGTGGAAAAATTGTTCCCATGAAAATCGAGAACATGTCAATTGGAAACCAAAAATATATTACCGTTTTCCAAATCGGCACAGGTTCCATTAGTAACCTGAAACTGAACAGTGCCGGAATTCCAGAAAGCGACTTTATTATTGAAAAAACAATACTCCATAGCATTGAACAAGAACGATCGCGCCTTCGTGAAAACTCATCAAAACGAAAACAAAACGAGTCTCCGAGTCGATCGGTAGAGGGTAACCCTGTGGATAGTAAACGCCCAAGAAAGTAATTTCTGTCCATCAATAAACGGACACCAATGTTTATAGCATTGAGAAAAAAAATAAAGCGGTTGAACTAAGTCGAATTCATTTTTTCAATAGTCGTTTCATTATTATTAGGTTGAAGTCTAGTAGGAAACGTGTTGAGAAACCGGTCAAATTTATTATTTTCGGGACACGGTTGCCTCCACTGGTTTTTGGCTATATTCGCTTCAAACAAGTACTCTATCAGACGAGTGAATTGATTCACTGTAGTATTGTCGGTATCCTAACTTTTGTCGCCGCTAGCCGTTTGTCGTAACATGACCCTTATACATGTTTTGCATTATGACTTTGTACATTAGACTGGATCCAATGATCAATGTGAGCTTGTTGCGAATATTCATGAAGGTCGCAACGAAAATGACGATCGTCTGAATCAGGAGAATCAGAACGAACCCGAAAATACTCCTTATGACGGAAGGTTTGAACCGGCTCGAGTCATTGAGCCGTGTGTTAGGGCTCAGATCGACACGTTGCGATTGATTGTCGGCAGATGAAGTTTGAGGAATTGCATTTCGATCTGTTTCGCGTTTATGTCGAGCAATATCACTAGCCATTTCCACTTGCTTTCGAATTTTTTCATAAGCGTCATCGTACTCTTCGACACGCATGTTTTCTTATTATAAGATAGGGGGCATGTTTTCTATACCGTGGCAATATTTACTAATAATCATTTCTATTGCTTTAATTTCACTGGCAGCGTTTGTCTATATCATAAAACCGGAAAGTAGCTACAAGAATTCGTCCAGCTCCATGGCTTCCACTCCGACTTAGTTGGGTATATTTTTTTACGAGATTTTTCTATGCCGACAAACGTTAGACCCAAACTAAGGAGATGGGTTTCTCTAGCGAAATCAGAGGGGCCTGGGCGAGAGAAACGATCGAAGGGGATTTCAAAAAGAACTTGAAGCTGCTCGATAATTCTAACGAACTAATGAAGGAGTTTTTTGGTTCGACGGAAACCGTGAATTTCAAAACGATCGGTTCAATGGATACGCATGACTTTATTACCGGTCTACGAGAAGGGGAAGCTGCTCGAACGCTTTCGAAAGCCAATCCTGCAATGGCATCGATGGCCGTCGAGACAAACCGATTTATTCAGGCAATGAATCGAGAGGCTCTGGAAATGCCCGACAAACATTTGAAAAACATTGCGGCAACCGGCGAAGAGATCCGTAGCTCTCTGCCGGATCTCGACCTGAAAACGAATTCGGCGGAACTCGAAACAGAGATTGCCAAAGACTCAAAGACCAAAGAGAAGGTGGACAAAATTGAAGAAAGGAAAAGTAAAACTGGAAAATATTCTT